ATTTCTTTAATCAGGACATAAACAACCTGATTGTAAGATGGAAGAACATCATCGATAAGAATAGAGACTATTTCATTTAATAAATGTTTTGTTTTGATATATAAGTTGTTCGGGTTTTTTCATCTAAAAAGAAAGCGACGTTAATTTCTTGATGACCTAGTATTAAACTTACCGATATAGACATTACTTTTTAAGGCTGGAATTCTATCTAACCAGCTTCACCTACCTGGAAACACAAAAATAAAAACTGCTGCCAAACTTCCCATAAATTCGATTACTGTGCCGATGTTAGGAATTAGGAGAGAGAGGGTTAAAGAGCAAATAAACCATGACAGTGCGATGATGATTCTTCTGCATCGTTCACTCTCGACGACGACTTCTGGTGGTATCCCTCTTATTTGAACATAGAGGTCGTCTATCGCTGTCCTGTGGTAAAACAGTAAATTCAACAAACTTAACAAAATGGTGAAAAAAAAGGATAAAATGCATGTCTGTTATCTTTAAATATACATATAAACGAGCGACATTTTCACATGAGAATGTTTAACTTGTTTCTTGCTGTTAGTTGTTAAATGCTTTAATCATTTTAATGAAAGATGAAATAGAATCCTCAGAGAATATCTGTAAAAACCGTTGAAGAATATGTGTGAACTTTGTCATGTGTTAGAATTATGGTCAATTTGCGAGTGTAAAGACATAATTCAGAGCTTATAAATAATCAATAGTAAAATATTCGTTATTTAATGTTTGTTTTAATATTTCATGCTCGCTGAATTTAACGGAAAAAATATTTTTGATTACAGTCTGAAAGGGTAACAAGAAGCATGAAAAGGAACAATAATAAAATGCCTTTGCTTGTTCAATCTATAAAATTTTCTACCTTTAACATATTATTCATACATAACTTGCTGATGAAAAGCATTGTTTCATATTTTTATATTTGTGCGCATACTGTGGTATTTTCATGTGAACTGATTTTCACGCAACTATTAGGTCCACTTAATAACAGGAGGATCAAGCAGGAAATTTTGTAAAGTAATCTTGATAGGAAAACCAACTGAGTCTGTGTGAAAAGAAGGAGATTAGAAGCGGATGATGAAAAATGAAACAAATACTACAAACAAACAGTGCATATCTGTGTAGACACTGAGACAATTATCTTATCTGGTTCGGTGAATAGATTGTCAGCTTTTCCTCTCTCGAGATGAATCTCTGCAGAACTAATCACGACGATAGCTTAATAGGACTCTGGAACTGAGAATGCTCTGTACTGATACAGAAAACCTTGCAACCTTTCTTTGCAGATAGCCCTCGTGTAGCTTTGCGCGACATCCAAAATAAACCAAACCTTTCTTTGCAATAGCGTCACCACGTAGCTGATCATTTTCTCATGGCATTCATTAGCTGTAATGTGCAGACATCATCCACTCGGCCAGTGAAGAACGTTACAATCATTGACCGTTTTCTATACTAATGTGTGAAGTTACTGCAATATCCCTGTGTGAAGAGTAGGTACTATCTGCTATCGAAAACAAATATACGAAGGCAACTAGAATGAAACAATTCAATAGTTTTTGTACCACGTGTTTATGCTAAAACTACTCAAAAACAGGCTATGCGAAAAAAATTTTAAATTCCTATATTAATAAAAATGGAGGTCTAACACAACCTGAGGGTTAGAGTGCTTCATTCGCAATCTACGGGTCACGGATTCGAATCCGGCCACCGAACACGGTCACCATTTCAGCTGTGAGACCATTATAATGACATGATCAATCCCACTTTTTATTGCCAAAAGTTGGCGGCGGGTGATGTTGACCAGATGCATTCTCTCTAGTCTATCACTTTTACATTAGGAACGGCTAGGGCAGATAGCTCTAGTGTAGCTTTGCGCGAAATTCAGGAAACAACGTTCAGCGGCAAGTTTGAGAACTTATAAGGCTATACTGCGTTCTTGCGTGATCATTCCCTTTCACAATTATTATCTATAATTTTTGATAAAGAATGCTTTACTTCTGAAACGAGCTTTTTAACTGTCTTGGTAATATTGTTTCTGAGTATCATAAATCTGTGTACTACCAATAATGAGAACATGCTGATAAGAACGAAGTTCCAGGGCTCGTATTGCCTTTGGAGCTACTTCCTTCGTCGTCGATCGTCCTCATAATTAAGCACTATTGCCCAACCCCACAATTTCCATTGTAACAATTTTCTGTGAAGGGCGGCGAGATCAATTTTACACTACGCATCTTATCATACTTCACACCTACGTCAGCTTCCAATGTGTTCGAATGCGATTGTTATAATTCCAGTTTCTACGGGCATCTTTCTCATAAAAACAGTCATTGATTTCGAGCTATGGCAGGGAGATTGTGAACTTTCAAAATAAATAATGATTGATATTGAGGAAGGCTTGTCAATTTCAAATGCTTACTGTTGTTTTATATCTTATTAGTGGTAAAAAGAGATATGTCCAGCTTCATTGGAATGTTATTTCATGTAACCATAGTTCTTATTTTGCAAGTGAATGCATTGCTATGGAGTGGCTTTGGGTGTCATTTTGGAACTCATTTCTGTGTTAAATGGTTTACTATGCAAGCCTGTCTGCTTCTAATGGAGAATATTGAAGGTTTCGTTTTCTTTTTTTATATATCGCGTCCTTTAGTTATACATTATTTCACGATCTCGGAAAAGTTTAACCCAAAACCATCCAGTCATAAGCCTACCCTGGCATCATTGCCGAATGGTCAGAAATTTACTGTTAATTATATATGTGTGTGTGTGTGTGTCGCCCATAGCACCTTGACTCGAATCTACATCAACACGCTACTTTATTATGAAATTTGGGTCCGGCATGGCCAGGTGGTTAGGGTGCTCGACTCGCAATCTGTAGATCGCGGGTTCGAATCCCCGTCACACTAAACATGCTC